GGAAGGGGGGTTCAATCCCTGGCATGCTGTGCTGGCCCCACCCCCAGGGCACACTGAGACAGGGATTGACACTGGGCATGGTGGCACACACCTATAATCCCAGTGCTTGGGAGGCTGAAAACAAGAGAATCTAGGTGTCTGATCTACCTGAAACCCTGTAGATCCTGTACTAAATACATTAAAAAAAAGAGAGAGAGAGAATCTCAAAATCACCAGATATAGTTGACACTCAAGCCAGTTAGGGAAGCCACTGAGCTACATGCAAAATTTTGTCTTTGTTGTATATTTTTTAATCTAAATATTTTGTGTTACTCTCCAGTCAGAGATTAAAGTATATATGTAGGAAAGTATATATAAAAATGTATATATCAAAAAATAAAACTTGTATAAATAGTTTAATACTAGAAGTGTTGAAACATCATGAGATTAACACAAGCTACCTTTGGCCTCAACAATTACAAGAGGTGCTCCAAGCGGTGGCCATTAGGTTCCAGATGTGATTTAGTACAATGAATATCTGCAGTGTGTATGCATATTTTAGTGGTCTCAATAGATGACAGAGTAATAGATAAATAGATATGTAGATAGATACCAAATATTTCTGTGAAATAACTGGGTCAAAAATCCCAAAGAATGAGTGAGTTTGGTGGTTTCCCTTCCAAAACATATATGAAAACTGCATTTATATTCTTCATATTTGCTCACTATATACATTTTTCTGACATAATTTCACTTTCAATAACAGCAAATCTAAAGAAAATAACCTCAGCAATTGCACTTCATGAAACTAGATGAGCAGCAGAAATCAATTCTGGAAATCTGGTGGGCCCTGTGGGTGTAGATAACACTGTACTGTATGCTTAACATAGGCTGAAAGTAAATTTTATTTTTTTAATTTTTTTTTATTTTTTGAAAGTAAATTTTAATTCCCACCACAAAAAAATCACCTTATGGGCTGAGGCACACATTAACTATAATTATTTTACCATGTACATTCATTGAAACATCATCTTGTGTGTCAGAACTATATAAAATTTTACCAATCATATCTGAATAAATTTAGGGAAAAGGATTTTTAAAGAAAGAAAGAAGAAAAGCAACCACATGGGAGAATAAATAGATTGCGGCTTACACAGCGGCACAAAAGCACAAAGACAAAACAAGCAAATAGAACTGACCAGAAAGCTCCCTTGGGAATAAAATGTGTTCCTCATAAACACTCTCCACTCTGAGAGCCGCGTGCAGCCTCAGAACTTCACTCTTGATTCACTGTAAGCACAGGGAATTCCCAGAGACGATGGAAATGCATTAATGGTAGAAGTTTGTGGGGCTTATTTTACAGCAAGAGAAGTGGCTGTCAGAGAAAGTGTTTGGAGGAGGAAGTTGTAACAGACACGCAAACCCAAAGCGCTGTGCGAGGGCCATGGAGTAAGGGTTTACGTAGAAATGTACTTGGTATCTCACTGCTTTCAGTGATTTATAAATTAAAACATGGAGATTCTTTAGCGTGTGCTCAATCCTCATTTTGAAAAGAGTCATAAGTAGTACAATTTAAAATA